GGTGATATCTTTTATTAGGCTAACCAGATTTTTGCAAAAAAAAAATTTCAGTTGCAAACTTTTGGGCACAAACACCCTTCATCAGGCTGAGGAAGCATCTGCAGTTGGTGTGTGCTCTTCCTGGATGGAATGAATAGTAAAGAAGCCAGAGGCTTTTACTATTCATTCCATCCAGGAAGAGCACACACCAACTGCAGATGTTTCCTCAGCCCGATGAATGGCTTTTATACCTGAAAGCTTGCTAAGAAGAATTTCTTCAACTATCTGAGTTGGTCTAATAAAAGATATCAGATTTGCCCAAAGAACTTTGTCTACCTATGTCCAGGCCATATATTCACCAGCCTACATACTGGCTAAGGATCCTATCTTTAGTTGCCCACATTTGAAAATCTTCATCTAAATGAATGAATGAATAAGTAAGTAAGTAAATAAATAAATAGATGCCTGGGTTGTACATGGAAAATGAACATGCCTATGTATAGACAAGTATAGACATAAAATGCACAGCTCAATGCCTCCTAATTCTGAGCTCAAATGGGAGTTCAATACACTTGGAGGGAACTTGTTTGAGATAGTTGAAGTATTTCTGAAAGCAAATCTAACTAATTTTCAGTAACTCAGAAACTTCCAGGGGTGGAGGGAGGGAACGGGGGTTGTAGTGGTGCAGTTGCACTCATCCCACACTTTGATTCTTGCTCCACACAAGCTTTAAAACCAATAGCCTGGGAGGAGCGAATCAGTTCTAGTCAGGCAGTACTGAAAGAGTCAGTTGATTTCATGGCTCATTATTATTCCCTGATCCCTACTAATCTCTTTCCACTCTAAAGGCCTTAATAATCCTTTGCCCTTTTTAATGGCCTTGATGTTCCACTGCTGAAACCATCCATCTGTAATTTTGCTGTTTGTTAGCCATAGCTGGTAAGGTCCCCCTTCTGTTTCACAGTCCTGAAGACTGTTAGCTCTAGCTAAAAACTTTAACTCAGGTGTGGTAATATTAACTCAGGTGTAGAAATGACTGAGAGTGAAATATTGGAGGCACTGTCAAGAGGCTCAAGAAGGCTAAATGTTGTATTATAAATATGAATGACACATACATTTAATTATAATGACTACAGGAATAATGACATGATATCTTTGCACTATTTTGACTATTTTTGCCTAATTAGTTGTGTTTAAAAATACTGTGTATATAATCCAGCAATTTCTTCATATTCCAATAATTATATTTGTTTTTGCTTTGATTTTAAACTTAATAACAGAGTGCTAGTCCCCTAGCATATTTGTAGAGCATCTCATTTTTTTTCATTTGGAAAAAAAACATGTTGTGTTATATGTGATGATGTGCCACACCACCATCTGCACCCTCCTTTTCAAAATCCTAGTTCCACCCATGGAAACTCCTGTATCATTTGTAAAAGTATCAGACAAATTCCCTTTATAAGTAAATATACTCTGTTGCCTAGTATTTCCCCTCTCTTTAGTGTTTCTTGATCTACTAGCAGCCAAAGTTAGACAAGGGAAACTAATTAAAATAATTCAGTTAGAGTCAAGATTTGTAATACTTTGCACTTCTGCATTCCCTTCTATTTAAGAATCTTAAACTTTAAAAATATGAATGTACTGAACTTCACAGCATGCTTGTAAAGTTAGGCAGTACTTTTATTCCTTATCCAGTCCTGTCCTTTGTGTCTCGCAATGGCCTGAAACTGGGTTTCTTAAGAAGGACAAGAAGTCAATCATCCTAGAATGCACAGAGCCAAATGGGAAATGCTGAATATATTGATACATTATTTTCCTAAGCAATCACTTTGTACCTTCAGCATGACTACCTAGATCATTATCTTTACTTACACAGATACAAGTGTTAAGAACCAAAAGAAATTACCCAACCAGAATGTTGTAACAGTCACTCAGGGTGTGATGGTTCTAGCTATTGTTCTTACACAGTTTCCATTGAGAAACCTTGGCTTGTCCCATTCAAGATTATCCAAAACATTTCTCTTTAGGGCTGAAATTTGCCATGTTTGATCTCTGCCAGAAGGCATGCTCATTTAAGAAGCTCTTTCAGTTATTGGCCAGAAGTCCAGTCACTTTTCACTGTTTTTCAGGAGACTAATTCAAAACAGCTTCACTTTTAATTTTTGAGGGAGAACAGAACAATTTTAAAATAGGTATAAATGTTTGCAAATTGGAAGCTTAGTATGCATGCTGGAAAATTCACTTGCATTGTAGCTACCTGGGGTTACTATCTATTTGGAGGAATTTACCGGCTCAGGGCCTCAATACTTGACATACTTACACCAGTATAATCCATCCTCCTTTGCATACTGATATAAATTACACCAGGATCCCAAGCATATAGATGGGAACTAATTAATAGAAGTAGTTATACATAATAAGTATTTATTACAATGCCTTGTCATTAGTAGCAGGAAGTAGGCAATAGCTGGGGATTTTGATTGGGATGTGCCAATGTTCCTGCTGGGAATTAAAACCAGAAGTTCCTGACTAAAGTGTCTTGCACCTCTGCTCAGGGTTAGGCCAATTGCCATACTTGGATCAGGAAGGAATTTTATCCTGTGGTCACACTGGTATAGGGTTTTTTCCCTTCCTCTGTAGCAGGAGCCACGGCCCTCTTCCTGGGATCTCTTGAGCATATTTAAACAACCTTTGCAGCAGCAGGATGTTGGTCATGGTGGTCCCTGCACTATCTGTGGAAACTAGGTTGTTATATCTTGTGCTGTGTCAGAGTTGACTTGGTAGTTTTACTAAGAGGTTAGACAATGGATTTGTATGGGATGGTTTGGATAGAGATGATCCTCTTAGGCAGAGGGTTGGACTAGATGACTTCTCAAAGTCCCCTCTAGCCCTACTTCTCTATGACTTCTATATTCAGGTCTGGGGCCTGTCTAGAGCAGGAAACTAATCATTCTGTAGCAAGGTGAGGTGAAGCTTGTAAGCACTACACTTTGTTCATGTGACATTTATTAGCAGAGAGGATCAAGATGCTTTGATGATCCACTGGTGAAGCATGTTTAAGGTTCCACAGGCTGAATAGCCTCCACTTCCTCCCACACCTTAAAACAACAAAAATGAAGAGCAAGCTCCATTTAGGCACATGGCCTCGGGACTGAAAAAAGACTACTCATTTCTTCATAGTATTCCTGTAGTTGGATTTTATGTAAACAATCAGTGTCCATTAATTATACAGTTCTATCAATCCCATGATATTAGCAGCCCTGAAACTGACCATTAGAAGCCTTGAAAATGAAACTAGTTCCTGTCATCCAGGTTTCTAATAGCAGTGATTTCCTCTTACTTGTTCCAGCAGCAGCTAACAATTTTTTACAAGCATACAGTTGCAGTTAGCATGCAGCTAACTGGAGTAGAACAGAGATACAAGTAGAGAGTGGGGCTGAAGCTATATACTTAAGTACATTCTCCATTTAACCCAGGGGTATCAAACTCATCAGGCCCTGTCAGCCAGATGAGTGGCACAGAGCTGGTCTGCAGGCTGAATCAGGCCTGCAGTCCAGCCCCGTGTGCTAGATTCCTAGCCTAGTCTAGCACAGGCACCACATTCAGCATGCATCCTGGACCAGCCTCACATGCAACATGCGTTCCTGCACCACCACCAAGCAGGGCATGCAGCATGTGCCCCAGACCAACCCCAGGTGCCATGTGCCATGTGCCATGTGCTGCCTATGCCCCGGATTGGAGTGCACTGTAAAGTCAAAAATCCTAGTGGAAAGGCAATTTAAATGTCAATAAAGATGTACAAACCATAGCTAATATATTTTGAGGAATACAGAATGATTAATTTACCTTAATGTCCCACTGTAGGCACTAGCCACAAACAGCCCTGGCACGCCTGGAAAGTCTCGCAGAATATCCAGTACCAAGTATGGCATTAACTGCAAAATTCCAAGATTGAGAAATGTTATAATGTCATCTTCATTTCTGGTCTTGTTTCTTGTAATATTCTCAGCCTTCCTTCTGCCCAGTTATTTAAAGTTTACATGTGCTGTTGTATATGTTCTACTCAGTTCCTAGACATCCTGCAGAAAATGGTCCCTAAGTTGCTCACTGTGAATACAGACACCTTAGGATAGCTGAGAACCACTTCCATGTTTGATCCCAGTCCCTGGTGTTGGTTTAAGCTATATACTGGAAGCACCTAGTCCCAGATTCAATAGAATAATATCCCTTTTGTTCTGGCTTTTATGACATCTGCTATAGTTGAAATTTGCAGATCACTTCAAAGTGCCTGGTTTAAGGCTTCTATTTTTGTTAATATGAAGGAATGCATTGTGTATCTATCTACCTTGCAATTACAAACCTCATTTTACCATGGTCTTAAAGAAGACCATGTGGCCTGACCTCTGGCTTTTTGCCATGTGTTCACCATTTGCTTCCCCTCTCTGGCCTCCTGCTATGGAGGCAGTAGTAACTCTCCTAAGTATAAGAAACTGACATTTCATTTGTTTCCTCCTTCTGAACATTTTTCTTTCTATAAATATACCAGGGTATATTTGGAGAGGCTGACTACCATTTGTGATTCTGCTCCTCAAAAGACATAATTTCACAACCTAATTCTCTCCTGAGTAATGAAGGGATAAACATTTTCAGCAAATGTTTACTTTCTGGTGATCTCTTCCTGTCATAAACATTATCCTTGGGGCATCTCTTATGTTTAGAACATGGGAAGGTCTTTGCTTTTCACTCATCCAGGAACAAAAACTGTACACTGTAGATCTGAAGATGAACAGTACTACATAAGGGCTAATGGTTACTGTCAGGCCAGTATCATTCATTAATCTTTTTAGAGGCTGAGATGACTTCTCTGAGGTGCCTTCCAGCCAAACTTTTCTACCTTGTTTTTTTTCATTGTAACATTTCACATGTTTTGAGTTGCTCATTTATATACAATGTTCCTAGGCATGTTTTAGAGGGATAAACAACATACCTGACAGATCTGAGAAAGAAGAGTTGCCTTCACAGCATTATGCTCCTGGCTGTCTCCTTCAACAAGTCATGAAATAGATGTCTACAACTATTGGTCAGAACCAGAAGGTGGTGGGACTGAAGAATATCCCATTTTCTGTAAAACCATCCTCACTGCCCCTAGCTTTTCTGTCAGTCTTACAGTTTGTCCCCCGCCTCAATAATCCTGACTCACTACGTGGTAATTTAGGCACTTTCCTCCAGCATACTCTGGTATGTCTCCTGAATGACTAATGAGAACTGTAGTGCAAGGTACAGCAGAGGCACAGTGCCTCTATGTAGACAAACCTTGCTTCACTGCAGCTGTCTCAAGATCCCAGATGAAAAGGAGAAGCCATAAGGTTTTGACCTCTTGGCTGTTACATAAAGATGCAACCCTTCCTTCTCTTCTCCCAAATAAAAGAATATGATTTTTTTTTCTGTGGGGTTTAAAATACTTGAGCTTTGCATCACTGGGGCATATGGAGATTTATATCCAGTTATTTTACTAGATCACTCCCTTACTGAAGATAAAAGTATATCCCATAGTGTTCCTCAATGCAGCTTTCCCAAGGACCTCATTCTAAACTTCCAAGGCATGGGAGTGGTGAGTGCTCAGCCAAACACCTAGGGATCAGGCCCTAAGGCAGCAGTTCTAACTTATCCCTAACTGTTAAATGTAGCAAAAGATGTATATACCTGGTCTGGTGCTGACACCTTCTTTGCTGTCCATGGGTCACAATCCTTGTAAATCGAGTACAGAGCTAATCCCGAGAACACTGCACAGGTGAGAATCGCCCAGAGTCCTACCAAGTTTATATAGAGAGACCTGTGCAAACACACATGGAAGGATCAAGGTTAGAGAATTACTTTTGGAACTTGGAGAGAAAAAGCACAGGTCTGTAAGCTTGGCAGAGCTTAATGTATCCTACTGTACCTGAATTACCTTTCTGGTTGGCAGTCAAAGAAAAGAGAAACCTTGTTAAGTAGGAACACAATGTTTAGTCCAGTTACATGCTGTGAACTTTTTGACTGAAAAGGCAGTAGAGTACTGCAGAACACGGGAACTCCTGAGAAAGATGATGAGCCATGCAGTAGCTACTAGGCTAGAAGCTATTTATAAATTTTTACTGCTGAGGGTGAACAGGTATTTACAGTCATACCAAGGTCAATGGGATTGCTCAGGTCTCACCAGGAAAAGGGTTGCAATTTGGCTCCAGTTAAGTTGTCAGAAAGAGATAAATTGGCATTTTAAAATATAAAACCCATATGATGTTCTTGGGAATATATAATCAATAGCAGCAGGGTTTGTCCCATAATGGAATCTAGTCAAGAGATTATGGGACAGTTGTGATTATTCTGCATATCTCAGCATTTGTCTGTATGTCAGGTCACAGGAGGCAAATAGAAAGTGTACACAAACCCCAGAGGGATCTTTAAGGAGCATGCACTGGGTGTGTGCGGTCTGTATCAGCACTTCTTGTGTGTCAATACACTATGTTATTTTGCTATGCTTAACCAGTGCCAGCCATCCAGTTATGGAACAATAAGGAAGGCCTTTGCTGGCATGCTCTATAAGATAGTCATGCCAAATACTCCTCTCCAGATGATTTATCATGGGGTTTCTTAAGGCTGTTGCTTCTAGACTTTACCCCAAAAAAGAGGCTTATGCCAAAGTAAGGTTGTGTTTTGTGTGCCTGCCCACTTTTACTACAGAATAAATTCTATTATCAATTTAACTTAAGTTGATTCCATACCATTGTAAGCTAAATTGATATAAAATCACTCTTAAATTGACTTGAGATTGACATACAGAATTTAACCAGATGTTTTTGTAGGACAGAATAAATTATTTTTATCTGCCGTAAAGCTGGCAAGTCAGTCAGCAACACGGAA